ATGCACCTGTTCGTGGCGCGTCCTGTGTGCGTAAGCGCCGTAAGTTCTAGGACAGTACTTACATACACAGATCTTGTTTGTGTTGTGGTGCTCCTTCATGTGAAGTCTCAGGGAGTCAGTGGTGGCCATTACTTCCGCGCACATATAGCAAGCGTGTACGCGGTCATTGCCATTGGAATGTATGCGGTAATGTACACGTACGCTTAATCTGGTCTTGAACAACCCTTTGCATTGGGGGCACTTATATTTATTATCGTCCGTCTTTATGAATTCTATTTCTTTTGTTATCCCGTCATTTTTGTTAGACTTTAATTTAATATTGTTTTTGAAGCACTTTTTCTTTTCCACTATAACTGACTTTAATGGTTCCTTTATCATTTGAGTTTCTGTTATGGTTTGTGTCTTGATTGGTATGGAATTATTCGAAGATTTTATTTCCTCAATTGCTGTATCGTTACTATGGACTAGTTTTATATGAGCTTTTAAATCTTTTTGTTTGTAGTAACCGACGCCGCAGTAGCATACATGGGGGTATGGCATATGAACAATGGAATGTAGATCAAGGGTGCTTTGAGCAGCAAATTTAATATCGCAGTCTGGACACTTATAGGACTTCAAGATATGTCCATTTTTTTTTCTCCTGAAAATGTACAATAAAATTCCATGAGTTAATTCAAATTTAATGTAAGCTGTGGACCTAAGAAAATGTAAGTGTGTGTGCTTTCTTGGTCCAGTCACCGCAGTCAAGGGTCAAAGGTCCACTGCCACCGTGAGTGATGTTCACACGGCAATGCGTAAGTAATTTCATATTAATGTGCATAAAAACGCGTGTGTACGCATAAATACACGCACGCGTACGCACACAGGTATGCGTGTGCATGTGTTAAGCGCTGCAGCGCAACCGATAGTAGTCTTACGGTGGCAGTGGATTTTTGACCTTCGACCGTACATCTGAGTATAGAATCCAAAGGGAGCAGACTACCAGATGGTAAGCAATCGGGGCGCCACCCATGGATATTTGTGACACTAGATGAGTTACAATTAGTGCTTTGCCAGCCTTTAACACATTGGGAATTGCAAATGTAGGATGGAGTAGCATTAGGCGTCTCCTCACACACGAAGAAGCACAATGCAAGCGTTGTTTCACGCCGGTTTCCTGTGAGGTTATGGTATCACTATCACTCTGGTCGAGCTGGCCCATTTGTACCGAAGCGTGGGTCTTTGGGTTTTTAAATATTATTTTAGAGCTTATACACTGCTCATGCTTATGTGAGTACCTAATTAAAATTATTACTAAGTTATTTACAAAGATCCTTACACATTTGCTTGTACATGTTCGAATTTGTGATGCAAATATTCTGTGTTCATCTCAAAATTTTGATCGCAGCTGTCACATTTATGTACTGGCATCCTCTCCACAGATACGTAAGCACTAGCGACCTGAAATAATTATATAGCCTCTGATTAAAAGTATATTAAGTGGAAACAAAAAATTTATCAGTGTAGTGAATAAGTTGCTAATGAGCAGACATGTTCCATTGTGGGCTGCCGGGTGTGGTGATAATGTAAAGGCAACCCGGGTCACGGTCACAGGCAGTGAAGAAACACCGAGGTGGTTTTAGCTGGTAAAAGTCTATGAGGATTTCTGTTACGATAGAAAAAAAGACATGCTCCATCGTAGGTCACACTATCGCTTACCACCAGACGAGTTAGTAGCCAAATGTCGGCCCATCAAATATTTGACTGGATGCATGTCATATGTGGATATAATGGATGAATCAATCATTCTATCTGAAATAATAAATGACTGCTTAGCCTATATTCAGCAGTAGTCTATGGTTACTTTAATAATTAAGTAATTTGACTATGTAAAGAATATTTTAGAAACTCGGAATATGTAAAATAACTTACATGTTCATAAAACCGTTTATCATAATTACAGGAGTGTTCCTCAAGATCACTAGGGTTTCTGAATACTTTTTTACACTTGTCACATATGTGAATAGCAAGCTTTTGTATCTTTATCACCGGTTTCAATTTCTGAAATAAAAAAAGACATAGGTATTAGAACAGATTCCATTGTATAGTACAGTATTAAGATTCCAGGGTTTGGCAGTGGTCTATGTGCAGCAGGACCCAACTTAGCCCAGAAACGAGCTCTAAGCAAGCTCTAATTAATCATAATTAATTAATTTAACTCAACTGAAGAGGTGATACTAGTAATATCATAAATATGCAGCAATTATGACTTAAAACTCACCATTTTCATATTTGCTGATAACTAGAACTTCAGTCTTAATAATCTTGAATAGTTCAAATTGATTATAATATTACACAGCCCCTGAATAACACCAAAACATCTTGAAGTCAACCAACCAAAGAATCATGATAATACTATATGTCTATTTGTGTTATCCATAATTTGATTGCATTAGAGAAGATAATATGTGGGTACCTAATTATGTGATGTACTCATAAATTGAGGCAAATATAACTTTGTCAAAATATCAATCTTTTATCCTCCAGTTTGAAGTGAAAAATTCAAAAAATCGAAGTCAAACCAAACAATACATACACAACTGACATTGCGACACTAACAAAAACTGACAACGAAATGTAATGTAATTCTTGTCTTCTTGTCGAATCAAATAAAAGTTAGTCAGTTTACTAAGAATCGAATGTATTAATGCTTAAAAATAATACTTTTCTTTTAGAATTATTAAGAATAGTAATACAAAAGCGAAAGTTTACTATAAGTATATCTCAAGCTGTTTTAGAATTGAAATCACCTTTATCTATTTTGATGTCTGAGTTTGACATGAAAACTAAACGTGTAAGTTAAAATGTCAAATTGAAAATGTAACAAAATCAGCTGTTTTGATTCTGTTTGCAAGTCAGCTTTGTTTACCAGGGCTAAATATAAAGGTAAATAACTCATATAAGTAAACCAGGTGAATTTTATTAAATTCTTTAGTAGATAAGGTTATGAACCAATTTATATATTCATCAGCTATAGTGAAAAAAGTATAACATTATAAATAGATACCTTTGTTCAGTTCTAGATAACCACTGAACCAAAGTGAAAATTGTCTTTTATTACTGAACTCGTGTGTGGTAACAAGGCAAGTATTTATAATAATATTATGTCTTAAAAATTACTGAATTTTCTTCTTTTTTGTTTGACTTTCAGTATTAACAAATAGGTTATTATTAACTAAAAACCGCGGGTTACTCACGTGAACATACCGAGAAAAGCTCTACTAGTTTCGAACCACAGAGGGGTCATTATCATCGGGCACAGCTAGTTCATATATAAATGAACTCACACCGCGTCTTGTCCTATGGGATATGTTGGATGCAGAAACTAAAGAGCTAATGTGTGTGCTCCTTTAACTTCCATCACATTTATCAGGAATGTCAAATTTTACTATAAATAATATAATTCTAGAATTATTACAAAAAGTCGTCTTGAGCAAGGGCTCATTAGGTAGGATTGAACTATATTGACACCACTGAAATTTTACATCATATTTTAGTAGATTTATAAAATTAAATGTGGTTACACCATCTATAAATAACGCATGGGTAAAAGTCCGCAAACATTATTTTGTCCGGAGCGTCCATAGATAGAAATATTCTGATAAAGAGTAGTCCACACTAGACCTTACCTTCGTAGTCTATAACAATTTCCACCACACTAGAAAAAAAAAACAGTATATATTACATAGTATGCCACAAACATTTTTCTCAATAAAACTAATTTGATTGTTATCGTTGCAAAATAATATGGTTAACCACTAGATAATTAATTTATCAATATTTTGGTACATGTGACATACAAATTCTCACTAAAAGGTACAAGCACTCATCAAATTATACTACCCAATTAACTTTCAACTTTAGTTTTGAAATAATAGAGTTGAAAATCTTCAAGAAAAACTTGTTGCTTCAGGGTAGCTTGTTGCGCTGGTGTCTGTACTATAAATAAACTTGGGTTCACAATTTATTTATTTAGTATTGTGCCAGTGTGCATTGCTAATACTCTGTGTTTCTACATTACATACTGTTTTATCTTTGAGATAAGTTTGTCTGTGATAATATTACTTCTTGATTTTTTTTTTACTTTTTTCTGTGTTAATTTTAATATTTGTTAGTACATTCGGTATTGACACGATCTTTTTAAATCTTTTAACTCTTCATTGACTATAATTATTTAGAAAAAAAATTTGTTTATTTAAAAAAGGACAGAAAGACTTGATTACATTCTGCCAATTTCTGGGCTTATATTATAATATGGGGTTCATCATCATCAACAGCCTATAAACGCCCACTGCTGAGCAAAGCCTCCTCTCACATGGAGAAGGTTTGAGCATTAATCACCACGCTTGCTCAATGCGGGTTGACGATTACAAACTTATAATTAGAAATTATAAGTCCAGGTTTCCTCACGATGTTTTCCTTCACCGTTTGTCAGTGATGTCTAGATAATCTTAGAAATGGGGTTATACTTAATATTTATAAAATAGGGTTTCTAATATTAGGTATTATAATTAAACAATATATTTATATTATTGTTGTAACTATTCTTGTTTTAATTTTTTATTGTTGCAATAAACTATTTTTCTTTTTTTCTTTCATATATATTTAACTAGCGACCCGCCCCGGCTTCGCACGGGTGTAATATGTTTATATTTTATACAATAATCACTCTATTTATTGTAAAAAACCGCATCAAAATCCGTTGCGTAGTTTTAAAGATCTAAGCATACATAGGGACAGACAGACGGCGGATAGCGACTTTGTTTTATACTATGTAGTGACTACATAGTCACTTTTTTCATCCTATATTATTTCATCGTAGTAACAACTTATGCTACATTGTGACTTATGTATATGTACCTACATTAATACATGATCCACAATTATTATGCGCATGTAAATAAATATTTAATGTTACTTGCAGATAAGGAGAACAACTTCATTGTGCCTTCAGTACTGCTATGTTGAAAATGTCTTCACAGGTAAGTTTCATTTTAATATTACCATACACTTAAAGTTTTTTTCATTAAAGAGAGGGACAGAAGTATTCCTGATTAGATTTTAATGAGAATAATGTAATAGCCTCTTTGTTAACTTGAATTTAAATCGGCCAAAACCATCTATCGAGCTATGGGACAACTCACAGTAAATTAAATTTAATAGTAGTATGGAGTTAGCCGAGTGGATCTTCTTGATTATTTCTACATTGAACACAGAAATTGAAACTAGTACCATCCCTACATTTCGTTTTTTTTAAACTTTGCGCCACACTAGGATTTTCTCATGTGTTGTATAATTAAGTGTGTATGTTATCCATTAATAAATAATAGTTTTATAGATAACTTCAAAGTATTATAGTCTATTGTGTTTATAGATTATAAGATTTAAAAAAATGTTTGTATGCCATATGGTAGAATGTACCAGGAACGATATACCTTTGTAAGCCCTTATATTATGTACCTACATTCAATGCAAATAAATTATTTCTATGTACAAACATACAATTTTACGTACACATAACTCCCAGAGCCGGAACAACAATTTGTAGACTAGTCAAAGAGTTGTTCTCGGCACGTTGTCATAATATCATCATCTTATTAGCTGTAAATGCCTTGTATTGTTATACTAAAGTGAAAATATGAACTCGACCAACAGCTGGACAGCATCATTAGCGCTTACAAGACTCTGACGAAGATACCGTCAGTGGCTGGTGGTAAGCTGAACAATGCAGCCAACAGAGTCACCACCAAGTGGTCAGTGCGCAACCTGGACAAGGGTATGAATACTGCATACACTACTTCATACTCCTTGGATGGAAACCTGAATGTCATCGCTCAAAGTGATTTTGGAATGGATGTTAGCAATGAGTGAGTTTTATTGTCCTATTATTTATTATACACTAGAATACGTAGAATAATGACTTCTGACAATATTCATCAGAATCGATTCAGTGCCTAAGTAAGATTTATAGTAAAATGAATTTATCATGGTTTCAAAATATAAATAATCCCGCAGGGATTTTATCAGGACAGTGCCCGTTCTTGTAATGTTTGAGTGAAAACTATTCTATCGACTATATTGTTGTACCGAATCTCTCTAAAATAAGTTCAGTGGTTAAGATATAGAGAGTCCCGGGGCATTAACGTAAAGTTCCCGCTCCCGTGGGACTTCTGTGATAAAAATAAAACCATCATATATCGTTATCCAGGTCTCAAATGTAAATATATACTTATAATTATTGGGGATTGGTCTTAATGATTACATATCACTAGGTACATCAACCACCTGCAATGGTCCACTACTGACATTTTCCATGATCTCCACACTTGCCGCGCGGATTAATGTAGATTATACGATGTACAGTCAAAGGTCAAAAGTCCACACAAGTGCCACCGTGAGTGGTGTTCACACGGCAATGCGTAAGTAATTTCATATTAATGTGCATAAAAACGCGTGCGTACGCATAAACACATGCACGCGTACGCACACGGATAAAAATATGCGTGTGCATGTGTGTGTGTAAGCGCTGCAGCGCAACCGATAGTAGTCTTACGGTGGCAGTGGACTTTTGACTTTGAACCGTACATAATTGTTATCCTCTAGTTAAGCGGAGCGACCACAGACCATAGAAAGAAGGTGACGATGTCCGCAATATGGCTAGGAGTGGTTGATTGCGTGGTTTATTACTAGCAGTGGACTGACATGGGCTGTTGATGATAATGATTAATGTTCTTCAGGAAACTGTCAGCAGTGTCTCCGCGGGAGACGTTCAAGGCGTTGATCCGTGAGGAGAAAAATGGCAAGGACTCGAAGAAACAGTACCTTGAGCTGTGGAGTAAGAACACCCTGGCCCACAGCGTGGATCTCACTAGTCTGGACATACACGGAGATGTGTATGCTGACTGTAAGTTTTAGCATATTTATTATACTGTTGTATACATGGTCGTGGTGGCTCGGATGTTTGCATGGCCGTGATGGGCACGGTTCGAAACCTACTAACGGCAAGTACCAATGTGACTTTTTCCGAGTTATATGTACTTTCTAACATTATTTAGACACCACTGACAAACGGTGAAGGAAAACATCGTGAGGTAACCTGGACTTATAATTTCTAATTATAAGTCTATAATCGCCAATCCGCATTTAGCAACCGTGGTGATTAATGCTCAAACCTTCTCCGTGTGAGAAGAGGCCTTTGGTCAGCAGAAGTCACTTATAGGCTGTTAATGTTGATGATGTTATACTGTTCTTGGTAGCAACAAAATTTGCAGCATTTAAGTACACGTATAACAAAGGGATCATTATTTTCGGCGAACCGTCCTCCCCGAAAGCGATAGCTGGTTAGGTATTCAGAACTTACCTACTTATACCATACGTATACCTGTAATATTACGTCGCCACTTCACGCTAGTATTCTATGAGAGCGTAGTACTACCCCAAACCATCTCGCGCACTCAAGCCAAGTTGCATAAAACAAGTACCACATTTACACTGATCTTATAAAACTAATGCCCGAATACTGAAACGTTACTCAATTTTAAGTTGCGCTTAAGCATAGTTCTATCTCTACAAATTCTTTGTAAAATGACAGAGACAGCATGATATTTAAGCACGTCTTAAAATTGAGAAACGTTTCAGTATTCCAGCATAAGCCTTTTGTTCGTTCATCAATGATGTAAAAATGGGTATAGGTTTTACATTATGGTTTTATAATTACAGCGGAATTCGGCAGTCTGGACTGGTCTCCTGATGAGACGTCACTGGTGTATGTCGCGGAGAAGAAGCTGCCAAAATTTGAGCCTTACATCAAGAGGAAGGCTGAAGACAAACCGAAGCTGGATGGCAGTGGAGAGACTGCTCCTAAGAAGGTAAAAAAGTGACCAATCTGTACAGATAAATCAAATTGGAGTCTGTTTGATATCACACACATAATATAATTATTTTCAATTTTTGTCTGTCTGTATGTTTTTACTGACTAATCTTTGGAATGGCTGGATCGATTTTGACGGGTCTTTTATTGGCAGTTAGCTTGTGCAGTAAGGAGTAACATAGGCTACTTTTATATTGGAAAATTGAAACAATAAAGTTATGTCCTAAAATTAATATTCTACGCGTACAAAATGGCGGGCAATAGTTAGAGACCGAAATAAAGGTAAACTGCTAGTAAGTGGAACTCCTTGGAAGTGTTTATTACATAATTACAATAGCTCTCCTGTGCCTTCAGCCAAACGCCACTTTATCGCTTGTCTACAGAGAGAGTAGAAATCAAAATGTATGGGGATGACACTGACAAGTGTCAAAATTTACGTCAATTCCATATAATTTGGTTTTCTATTCTACATGTAGACAAGCACTAAGTGGCATTTGGCTACAGCTGCTGTTTTTATAATAAATATCGTGAGACATACTAAATTAACTAAAAATCGCGGGTTACTCACGTACATCAGTAGGCTGCGCGACATCGCCGCGACCGCGCTCGCTGCTCATGAGGAAGAGCCCCTCTGTGGTTCGAAACTAGTAGAGCTTTTCTCAGTATATTCACGCGAGTAACCCGCGATTTTTAGTTAGTTCTCCTATTTCTTCGTATAGTCAGATAAAAACAAGCCCATAGTTTTTTAATCTTAATGGGGTGGGGCTGAACATTAGTAGATGGGTCACATATTATTAACCAATCGGCGGCGCTCATAGACACTTGCAACATCACAAGTCCACTTTGGGTTTTGTATATTAGGGATTGAGAATTGGGAGGAATTCATCCTAACTTTTTTAAGTAAAATGTGGAAAACTAGTTATAATATAAAATTTATGAATGTTCCAGGGTGAAGAGTATATCTACAGACAGGATTGGGGCGAGCAGTTGGTGGGCAAGCACCTGTCCGTTGTGGTGGTGTTCCAGCTGGCCACAGAGACCTTTACCGTCCTCGGCGGCATACCTGAAGGAATGTGCCCTGGTCAGGTATCGTACCTACGATATTTTATTCGTATCAATACCTTTTTTTTTAAGGGGGGAAAATCATCGAATGACTGCTCCCGCCTGGGTGAGGCGGAAGGGAGTGTCAGACTATTACTGACTAAAAACCACCCCGTTCCTTCTCCTGGACGACGAGCCGGAGCCCCGGTTACCCGTTACGTTCTCCGCGACTCGTATTAATACCTCAAGATGTATGGAAAGATTTAAATTGCTATGTTAAAAAAGGGAAATATTGATGAATACATCAATTAGGTACCTACATTTTTTTACTAACTTGTGTTGATTATCTATAAACTCTTCATCATTTATCTTCGTAGTTATTGTAATTAATATGTGCGTGTATGTGTGGCAGGTCCGTTTCTCCCCGGACGGGGGCAGCGTGGTGGGCGTGGTGTGGGAGACGGAGCCGCGCAGACTGGGACTCATCTTCTGCACCAACCGGCCCAGCTACATCTTCGAGTGCACTCTTGATGGCTCCTTCAGTGAGTAAACCAACTTCAATTTTATGGTATAGGCCGGTAAATCTATCTAACACAAAAATAATTATTCAAATCAGACTTGTAGTTACGGAGATTAGCGCGTTCAAACAAACAAACAAAAAACAAACTCTTCCGCTTTATATAATAGTATAAGATAAGATGTATAGTGACAGAACTATACTTAAGCGCGGCTTAAAATTGATTGGCGTTGCGTATTTCAGTGTCAGTGTTGTTATTCTGGGCTTATTAGTGCATACACCTACTCAACAAGACGAACCAGTATAAACTGACCTGTGGACATTACAGCAAGGTCATATAAAGCGAGATCATGATAAACTGGAGAACAAACAACAAATATGTTTTTATAATAACTGTCGTGAGACATACTAAATTAAGTAAAAACGCGGGTCACTCATGTAAAGGTGCGCGACGTCGCCGCGACCGCGTACGCTGTTCATGAGGAAGAACCCCTCTGTGGTTCGAAACTAGTAGAGCTTTTCTCATTATATTCACGTGAGTAACCCGCGTTTTTACTTAATTTAAACAAAAAATATATCATTAAATACCTAGTTGTGACATTGTGTTTGTCTTTGTTATAGGGAAGTTGAGTGGGGAAGGTGTGGCGGTGAGGTCCCCGCGGTGGTCCCCGCGCGGGGACCTGGTGTGGCTGCAGCGTCGCGCGGCCGGGCCGCACCACGCCTGCCACCAGCTCGTACGCAGGAACAAACAGGATGTAAATACCTATTTGTTTTGTCAGCGACTTCGCCCGTGTTCTCGAGCAAAAAAGTACTCTTCGTGTCATGCCAGGGCCTTTAGCCAAACGCCACTTTCGCGCTTGTCTACTGAGATAGTAGAAATCAAAGTGTATAACCAATTCCATAAAATTTGGTTTTCTATTCTACATGTAGACAAGCGCTAAATGGCATTTGGCTACAGCTTTTTTTTGTATGTTTGCTAACGTATTTCTCCATTATTATTTAAAAGATTGCCTCGTCGGCCGAGTGGTCGCAAGTGCGACTGCCGGGCAAGGAGTTTCGGGTCCGATTCCCGGGTCGGGCAAAGTACTACTGTACATTTTATAAATTCTCAGTAGTAGCACGGAGTCTGGAATTGTGCCCGGTATATGGCAATAGGCTCACCCCCTATTACATGGGACTCATAACATAAATAGTGAAAAGTGGGTGTTACATTGTACAGTGGCATAATGTGCACCTCTGCCTACCCCTTCGGGATAAAAGGCAGAGGTGTACATTATTGCACTTAAGGCTCCGTGAGGTTTATAGAAAAGAAAATTTAGGAAAAAAATTTTCTTCATCTTTTAATCACCAAACGAAATGTTACGTAAAACGAAGCCATCTGGTGGCGAAACGGGGTTCGCCGGGTTTGCTAGTTTTATACATATTTTCTTCAATTTCAGGGCGCAGTATCACCTGTAATAGACATAATAGACACAGAAGTGAAGATAGCAACCGGAGAGAGTTTCCACGGCGTGTACTGCCAAGCGCTGCCCGCCAGGTGCTTCACATCGGACGGCAGGCTCGTGCTGTCCTCGCCACAGAAGAATGAAGTTCGATCTTATATCGTAGATCTAGGTTTGTATACAAGCATTACCGCAGATGTCGGAAATAGACTAGTGTTCTCTATCACCATAATATTACCTACTCATACAAATTCCTTGTAAGATGACAGAGACGGCCTCGTTGGCCGAGTGGCCGCAAGTGCGACTGCCGCGTAAGGGATTTTAGGTTCGATTCCTGAGTCGGGAAAAGTAAGAATGGGTTTTAAAAAAAATCTCAGTAGTAGTTTGGAAATGTACCCGGTATATGTCAATAGTCTCACCCCCTATTAGGTACATGGGACACATAACATAAATAGTGAAAAGTGGGTGTTACATTGTACAGTCGCATTAAGTGCCGTAATGTACACAGCACACACTGCCTACCCACTCGGGAATAAAAGGCGTGATGTTATGTTTATGACAGAGATGGAACGATATTTAAGTACAACTTCAAGTTGAGTAGTAGCCTTTCAGTATTCGAGCATAAGTAACATACTATACCCTCTAATACAACAGTTGATTATTATCACGCGCTGTTATTGATAATGATCTTTATGGTAAATGCAATAAGGTCTATAATCCTGCATCCGCAGGGTCTGGCAAGATATCGGATATCTCCAACAAGAGCTGTCCTTGTTCCACGAGCGTGCTGGACGTGCGCGGTGACGTCATCCTGGCCGCCTGCTCCAGTCTCACTACTCCGGGACAGGTGACATTTTATTATATTTATAAGACTAAATCTATTGATTTAGAATTAAATAAAACCAATGTGTTGCTTCTTAAAATGAAGAAATGACATTTTAATGTTTATTCTTCCACATATCTTCTATCTTCTATATATATAAAAGAAAGTCGTGTTAGTTACACCACTTATAAGAATCAAGAACGGCAGAATAGATTTGGCTGAAAATTGGTAGGGAGGTAGCTTAGAGCCAGGAGACCGACATAGGATACTTTTTAACCAATACTTTTTTTTTACTTTTTCCCGAAAATCACGAACGGGGACGGGAAAAAATGGGATTACGCGTACGAAGTCGCGGGCAGAAGCTAGTTATTTATACATGAAAAGATTGATGACTGTTGATGAAGCGAAAGAGGTATGTAGGAATCGTAGTAATTGGCGTCTCTAGTCTACCCCCATGGGAGACAGGTGTGAAGTTATGTATGTATGTATGTATGTATGTATATTATTTAACACAAAATTTTTATAAATTGATATCTAAACAAACCACAGACTATTTGACAATTTATAGTAATCAATTCAAAATGAAAGAAAACCTATTTTCTTTACATATTTATTCTTTAAATAAGCTTCAAAATAGCAATTTTACACGCTGCAATTAGAGGAAGCCTACTTCCTATCTGATTACTATGAAAAAAAACACTGAAACACATTCAGTTTCCTTTAAGTATGGTATCTATGTACTTAATAATCTAGTAGGTACACACGGCCACACATCAATCTATACAAAACCAGTTTATCCTGGTGTCGCGTCGCATCATCTTTCCGCACATTTAACGTTCAGTTTATACTGGTTATGTAAAGCTCGATGTGTAGCCGTGTGTACTATTTTCTTTTGTATAATTAGACTGCACGGTTGGCGCGGTGGCTGGGCAACTGGCTACCGCGCAACGTGTCGCGGATTCGATTCCCGCACGGAACAACTCTTTGTGTGATCCACAGATTGTTATGCCGGGTCTGGATGTCATGTGTATGTGATATTGTATGTTTGTAAACGCACCCACGACACAGGAGAAAATCCTAGTGTGAATGAGCACCTTGCTTCACCTATCTTCACTGACGGACTGACTGACAGACTGTTATTTATTATGTATTTATTGATGTTTCAAAAGTACCAAATTATGGTTTAATTGAAATAAATGCTTTGACTTTGAAATTCGTGTGACGACACCTTCTTTATTTGTTGTTATGTAATTGACTCGTGTGAATAGTGAATTTCTGAGATTAGTTTATTCCAGATTTTTTAACGACAATACGGCCGTTGCGTTATTCTTTGCATCAGTTGGAGATTGTTTCGTTATAGTAAAACTGCGGTGCCACGATGCGAGATTACCCCGTATCACACCCCGATAGTACGTAAAATGATGCTAATGTTGTATGTGCAGGTGTATATAGCTCGGCTACCATCGCCGGGCAGCGAGGCAGACATCAAGTGGTCGCGCGTCACCTGCAACAGCGAGGCCCCGCCCGCGGTGTCGTCCGCCACGCTGCAGTACCTAGACCTGCAACACCAGGACTCACAGGATACCGTCAGTAAGTACCTATATCTAAACAACCACCTTGCGTGTGCGTCTCAAATATTGGAAGGAGTCACTGTAGCCCGTAAACCAGCGACAGATTTTTACCAATTTCCTCATAGTCGATAATTGGTATAGTACTTCAGGGAGTTGTATTATGAAGTATTATGAACGTCAATTGCGGCGTATATGGTGAGTTGCGCAGTGGCAGCCGCCCTAATGTGTAAGAAAATAAAATTAAAATTTTTAAAGATTAAATCCTCATCCAATATATCGTTAACATAATATTTTGAAGAAAAAAGAGGTCAGATTGTTATACAGTGCAGGATTATTGCACACGTAAGCTGATCACAAAATTCTAATTAGTAGTAATGGATACATGAATACATTAAGGGGCACGGGCATCACATAGACCATATTTATTCCTAAAAGAACAAGTGTCATGAGCGAATGTAATTATCATGTATTATACATGAGTCACAATAATAATTTGCGCGACGATCACACATCATCACATTGGTACTTGCTGTTGGTAGCTTTCGAACCCATACCCTCATGCATGAGAAGCGGGCGTCTTAAACCTCTATGCCACCACGACTTGTTTTTTACCTATTTGAAATTAAATTGATATTTTTTTATAGAATTATTTTTATATTACTCCGTATTTAGTTAATTAATGTTTAGATATATACAAACATGTATGTGTTGGTAAAATTCAATCTGCTCTGGAAAAGAAATTGTTGTGATCTTATACCTTAGTTAAACATTCTTTTTAGTTTGATTCATGTAGGTACTTTTTTGGGCGACTTTTTCTACATATTTTAAAAGAGGTTGACAGGTAGAAAGACATTTATCACTTTAGATCAATAAAAGTGAACCTTAACCTTGTTGTTTTCCTTTAATTAGCAGACTTGGAAGTTATTATTCTTAGGAGTGTTAAATAAATAAAGAAAGGATCGAGTCAGTCCCAACACAAGTATTGTATAATAACTTACTGGGACTGCCTCAATGTTAGACAGATAGTGTCATTCTTAAGATAATAAAGAATTTTGAATTTGAATTTGAATTAACAAAAATAACTTACAGTTCGATTTCGCTTACAGAATCATTCACGGCGTTGTACTTGGCTCCTAAGACTGAGAATAAGCAACTGCCTTTGATCGTGTGGCCTCATGGAGGACCTCATTCCAATTTTGTCAACGCATTCTCCATTGAGGCTGCTCTCTTCAGCATGCTGGGTAAGATTCTTTTACATAATACATAACTACTTTAAATGCCATAAGGCTCTATGTATTATTCTTTTTCTTATTGCCTAATGCCAATATGCATAACATTGACGCTTATCGTTGAATTCAATAACATTAAAGTTATGACTGTACGGTTAGCGTGGTGGCTACCGCGCAACGTGTCGCGGGTTCGATTCCCGCTCGGAACAACTCTTTCTGTGATCCACAGATTGTTGTTTCGGGTCTGGGTGTCATGTGTGTGTATGTGATATTGTATGTTTGTAAATGCACACACGACATAGGAGAAAATCCTAGTGTTGAGCAATGATTTAAAAAAAAGAAAATTATATACATATATAAAGTCACTGTTATAAAAAAAAAAACACAACTTCTCACACATTATTTGTAATTTTAATCACTTGTTGTTCATAAACAAATGTACTATACATATTGTAGTGTGTGTCACACCTCGCCCTATAAGTAAGTAGTGTAAGTTAGTTATTAAGACACTCAATTAAATTAACTAAAAATTATTATACTATAACTAAAAATTGGGATGATGACAGGGAAATTAAAAATATAATTAGTCCGTAAGTTAGGTAATGAAAAATTTTAGACACGTATTTTTTTATTTTGTCGTATAATAAAACAATACTTAGCTAAAACGAATTGAAGTTTAGGAGTGGGGGCTAAAACGTCATTTCTACGTATAAAATGTACATAGAAGTGACGTCACGCGACATTTCAAATCAATATGCCGTCGAAAGTATTCGTTTCTGTAAGAAAATAAAAAATACGTGTCTAATGATTTAAAATAATCTACCAGACGGACATTAAAATAAAAATAAGGCATCTACCCTATTATATAACTAAAAGTTATTATAAAAAAACACTCAATTAAAGCTACTCCTAATAACAACATGTCTCCCTCATTGCTCCACATTGCAATATAGGTACATCTATTGAATTGTATTTGAAAATGCAATAAGCTGATAATATGCATTAGCCAGGCAATCTATGTAACCATATTAAGCTCGGACTCCAGAAAGACTACTAAGGCAGATTAAACAAAAATATTTCAGGTTTCGCATCCCTACAAGTGAATTACCGGGGCTCGACTGGGGCGGGGCAGGACTCGGTGCACTTTTTACTTAAACGTGTTGGCGATGCAGACGTCAAAGATTGCAAACTTGCCACAGACTATGCCCTAAAGACATTCCCCATAGACCCCAAAAAGGTTTGCTTAACAGGGGGTTCTCATGGGGGATTCTTGGTCACCCATCTAAGTGGGCAATATCCAGATGTATATGCAGCCGTAGTCAGTAGGAATCCTGTAACTGACGTTGCCAGTATGTTCAATTCTACGGACATAGCTGATTGGTGAGTTGGCTTGATATTTATTTCCATTTTATAGATGTATGGGGATCTATGAAGCGTATGAAGTTAATCTAAATTGACAATATGTTAATAGATTACCAACTTTATTAGTTTGGTTTAAAGTTGAAAATCTATTAAAGACAGTTTGATTTGATTTGCTGTTTGTAATTATAGTTCCACTGTTAGAGATATTGAATAAAATATTCTCATTAATCCCCATATAACTGTATAGTTTCGGAAAAATACGATGCGAAAGTTTATTCTTGTGCATGTCATTTTATTTCTAAATTAATTTGCAAACGGTAACTGAATGGTCAAGAAGTATTTATTTTAACAACTATAGCGTGAATTTATCTAACAACAGTTTTTTCATAAGGGGTATCCTAAATTTTTATCAACGAGTTCATAAGAGCTATCCCAGTCCTGCCCTAAAGAGAGGATTCCCGAATCCCGAATTAACTACTATATTTCAATACTATATCTGCCTTTTTAGTCAGAGCCCGCCAGGAAATAATGTATCATTTACGATTCGACATTAAAAATCTCCCTTCACTAGGTTTTGCATCAGCCCGAATAAACTACCGAGGCTCAACTGGTCAGGGAGACAAACACGTCCGTTCTCTCCTAACTCACGTAGGCGACTACGACGTACAAGATTGCTGTCTCACTCTGAACACATTGTTAGAAAGAGATGGGAGACTGTGTGCGAAGAATGTGTTTTTATATGGAGGTAGCTATGGTGGGCTGGTGGTGGCTCACTTAGCTGGCCAGTATCCTGATAGGTTCAGAGCTATGGTGATGAGGAACCCCCTGATAGACTTGGCCAGTAAAGGCCATTATGCTGATAATTCGGATGGGTAAGCCCTAATTTTGTTTTATGTAGAAATGTCAGTTAGATGTCACATTCAGTTACCATTTGTAATTTAGTTTATTTAATACATAACATAACATAACATCACGCCTTTTAATCCCCGAAGTGGTAGGCAGAGGTGCACATTTCGGCACTTAATGCCACTGAACAATGTAACACCCACTTTTCACTATTTATGTTATAAGTCCCATGTATTAGGGGGTGAGCCTATTGCCATATACCGGGCACATTTCCTGACTCCGTGCTACTACTGAGATTTTTAAAAACCCAGTAATACTTTGCCCGACCCGGGAATCGAACCCGAAACCCCTTGCCCGGCAGTCGCACTTGCGACCACTCGGCCAACGAGGCAGTCGTTTAAGTAGATACCTAGTTTATTTAATATTTCTTAGGGAATGCGGTTTTTATGAGTGTAGTCCGTATTTTGTAGTTTCTTACGCGTTATCGGGATGTAATATAGCCGGATCTTTATACCAAACTAGCTACTTCCGCGCGGTTTCACACGCTCTGCTCAGCTCCTATTAGTCGTAGCGTGATGTTTTATAGTCTATAGCCATCCTCGATAAATGCGCTATCCAACACAAAAAGAATTATTCAAATCAGACTTGTAGTTACGGAGATTAGCACGTTAAAACAAACAAACAAAAAAACAAACTCTTCCGTTTTATATATTAGTATAAGATAAGATTTTATTTAAATTTGTCCAGTAGTTTTTGCGTAATAGAGTAACATATAGACATACATCTACAAGCATTTTCTCAAAGGTTTTCTTCCGGATATTTTAACTTAGTAAAGTTGTAAGCAAAAGTTATTCAACATATTCATTGATAACCAGCTTCTACCCGCGACTTCGTACGCGGAATTCCGTTTTCTTCCGTTCCCGTAGAAATTTCAGGATTTTAGCTGTCTTAAGAACTTTCTCCTAATAATAACAAATACAACAACAACAAAAAAAAACAGTGAAATCGGTCCAGCCATTCACGCGTGATGCCGTGATCAAGGAAAAAAAGGGATTCATTTTTATATATAAGGTGTTCTATAATTTTATGCCACGGCTTTAATGGGAGGTAGTGTTATGTTTACAGATTACAATTGTGAAGAAATTTCGTACCCCGGACCAGTTAATTACATACAGTAATTAAGTAAACATTGACTACATTCTGCATAATGTGGTTCACAAATTACGCGCGATGCGTCGCTTAGTCAATGAAAACAATTGCTATCTCTTTCCACGTGTACTGAGAATGAAAACGGAAATCAGCTGACTAGTTCGTCACTATCTAATCTACTAGATACTCAATAGGCAGGCTAACAAGGGTTTTAAAAGTGCAATTACTTACCAGGTACGGCATTCTTCCGAAAAGCTGATGTAGGTAAATAAGATTATAAACTTCCCATCACACTTAAACAGTTTTTTACACACTCTCTACCTACTTATCTACAAAACTGTTGCACAAGTCCACCTTCGCGTTGCACACAAATAAAGGCACGCTTCCAAACATGTCATATCACATTATTTAACGTGTCCGTTTCACTTTTACTTTGTTTCGCGTTTGACTCCACAAGTTATTGTCACTATCATCGTAAACTCCGGCGGTATCCCTTGTGCACGCAAGAAGATGACACCGAAAGAACTCTAACACTTCCTCTTCGAGTTCTGATTTGAATTTCGTCGCCTGGTAGTCATTTTTACGTAGCGCGCGCGTATCTCCGACATTAAAACTAACGTGCGGGCAAGCAGGGGTTGACGGGGCTACTGGCGGCCGGGCGGCGCGTGCGACGAGTTCTGCTGGGGTGTGTTGTCTCGTTCTTGAACGCCCCGTCATACGCTGTTGCCATCCTTATCAGACCGCTCGCGCCGGGCGGCTAAGAGCACGCTGCACACCCCCGCGCGCCCGCACCCTCTCCTGCACTCGTCGCACGCGCTGGTCAACCGGCCGCCGGGCAGGCGGGGGTTGAGCTACTGATAAGGATGGCAACAGCGTATGACGGGGCGTTCAAGAACGAGACAGCACACCCCAGCCAGCAGAACTCGTCGCACGCGCCGCCCGGCCGCCAGTAGCCCAGTCAACCCCTGCCTGCGCGGACGTTGTTAGTTTCAATGTCGGGGATACGCGCGCGCTACGTAAAAATGACTCCCAGGCGACGAAATTCTAATCAGAACTCGAAGAGGAAGTGTTAGAGTTCTTTCGGTGTCATCGTCTTGCGAGCACAAGGGATACTGCCGGAGTTTACGATGATAGAGACAATAACTTGTGGCGTCTTTTAAATCAAACGCGAAACATAGTAAAAGTGAAACGGACGCATTAAGTAATGTGATATGACATGTTTGGAAGCGTGCCTTCATTTGTGTGCAACGCGAAGGTGGACTTGTGCAACAGTTTTGTAGATAAGTAGGTAGAGAGTGTGTAAAAAACTGTTTTAAGTGTGATGGGAAGTTTATAATCTTATTTACCTACATCAGCTTTTCGGAAGAATGCCGTACCTGGTAAGTAATTGCACTTTTAAAACCCTTGTTAGCCTGCCTATTGAGTATCTAGTAGATTAGATAGTGACGAACTAGTCAGCTGATTTCCGTTTTCATTCTCAGTACACGTGGAAAGAGATAGCAATTGTTTTCATTGACTAAGCGACGCATCGCGCGTAATTTGTGAACCACATTATGCAGAATGTAGTCAATGTTTACTTAATTACTGTATGTAATTAACTGGTCCGGGGTACGAAATTTCTTCACAATTGTAATCTGTAAACATAACACTACCTCCCATTAAAGCCGTGGCATAAAATTATAGAACACCTTATATATAGACTAGCGGACCCGACAGACGTTGTCCTGTAATAATATAAATAACCTAGAAACCGACTGCAGCGCCATCTGCCGGGCTGATTTGTGAATCTAAACCATTCCCAGATCCCCTTGAACACACACAAAAAAATTCATCAAAATCGGTCCATTCGTTTGAGAGAAGTTCAGTGACATACACACTCACAGAAGAATCCTTACTAATATTATAAATCGGAGAGTGAGTTCGTTTGTTTGTTTTTTTGTTTGTTCCGCTTTCACGCCATAACTACTAAACCGATTGCTTTGAATTTTTGCAGATGTATAGTTAGAAGTCCGGATTAAATAATAGAGTACTTTTTATCCCGGAAAAATTTGATATTCCCGAGGGAAAACAAAAGTATTGGTATAGATGGCGCTGTGTGTATTGGTATATCACACATTGGCTTTTTATCCTTTTGTGACGCGAGCGAAGCCGCGGGTAAAAGCTAGTTATATATACAAAGATAGGTATATTTTATTATGGGTAGTTAGTGTGAAATAAAGACGTGTAATCATTTCAATTATCTATCATGTTACCCAGGTGTGCAGTAGAAGCAGGTTTCGAGTTCACGGAGAAGGGTCCGGTGTCTGAAGACCAGTTGCTGGCCATGCGGCACTGCTCGCCCATCGCCCACGTGCACAAGGTGAAGGCACCCACCGCTCTCATGCTGGGCAGCGGGGACAAACGGGTGCCACACTTCCAGGGGCTGGAGTACGCTAGGAGATTGAAAGCTAATGGAGTTACTACCAGGTAAGGTGAATAAAATAAGTATAATGTCTGGTTTCTATAGCAAATATCGTGAGGCATACTAAATTAACTAAAAACCGCGGGTTACTCAAGTACACAAGTAGGCTGCGGGACATCGCCGCGACCGCGCACGCTGCTCATGAGGAAGAACCCCTCTGTGGTTCGAAACTAGTAGAGCTTTTCTCAATATATTCACGTAAGTAACCCGCGATTTTTAGTTAATATCTCTGGTTAGTGTGAATGATGCTTACAATATGCTGCACGGTTGATGCGGTGGCTGGGCAACCGACTGCCGTGCAACGTGTCGCGGGTTCGATTCCCGCACGGAACAACACTTTGTGAGATCCAGAAATTGTTTGTTTCGGGTCTGGGTGTCATGTGTATGTGGACTTGTATGTTTGTAAACGCACCGACGATACATTAGATAATCCTAGAGCGGGGCAACGTTTTTATTAAAAAAAAAGGTGTCAGACTAGGAAAAATAATGCTATAATAACATGAAAGAATTTTTCACATTGTGACATCACTGCTTTTAAACGTTAACTACAAATATATTTTTGTTTTGTTAATTGATCAGAGAAATAAGATTAGGTAAGTATAGAAATGTATTAGACATTTTATATGGATTGATATTGATAAATCAACACCACTTTTTATAAAACATTAAATAAGAGGTGTTTCACATCGGAACTTACTTTTTACTTACCTACCTACACTGTAATTATTTATGACACATAACATAACATCACGCCTTTTATCCCCGAAGGAGTAGGCAGAGGTGCACGTTATGCCATTGTACAGTGTAACACCCACTTTTCACATGAGTCCCATGTAATAGGCGGTGAGCCTATTGCCATATACCGGGCACAATTCCAGACTCCATGCTATTATTGAGAATTTTTAAAAACCCAATAATACTTTGCCCAACCCAGGAATCGAACCCGAGACCCTTTGCCCGGCAGTCGCCCTTGCGACCACTCGGCCAACGAGGCAGTCGATTTAATTGAATTAATTATTTATGAATATTGTACAAATGCCACTTATGTTGATTAACGCGCATAGATCTACGCGTAGACACAATGTATTTTCTATTGTGTACTAGCTTCTGCCCGCGACTTCGTACGCGTAATCCCATTTTTTCCCGTCCTCGTTCGTGATTTTCGGTAAAAAGTAAAACAAAAATGTTGGTTAAAAAGTATCCTATGTCGGTCTCCTGACTCTAGGCTACCTCCCTACCAATTTTCAGCCAAATCTGTTCTGCCGTTCTTGAGTTATAAGTGGTGTAACTAACACGACTTTCTTTTATATATATAGATTGTATACAGTCGCATACTACAATATAAGCTTTGTTCTAGAATCTACATGTACGACGACAATCATTCGTTGTCGTCTCCAGCGGCTGAGATGGACAACCTCATCAACGGCACCCATTGGTTCATGGAACACCTCAACTTATAGTGCGAACACACAAATAAATAATGAAGTAAAAAATAAACAAAGTAACAATATAAAAAAAATAATAATAAAGACGCAAGGCTGTAAAGACTATTGGAAATTAAAAAAAGAATCACTTAACCCGTCGAGCGTCCGCGTTCCTGATGATCCAACGGGTGCACACGTGACATTTAGAGCATTTTTTCTTATATCCACCGGGTGCTCATAAGGACGCTCGAGGGGTTAAAGTTGAAATGACTAATGGCTGAAAGCAATAGTTTATTGTTAATATAATCATAATTTTAGATAGAAACTCTATACAACTAAAATCAAAAATCTATCTAAATCTATAGATTTCGGATTACGGGCCCACAGAAGATCAACTGACTTTCATTAGAGTCATCGTCAACAGCCTATAAATGCCTACCGCTGAGCAAAGCCTCTTCTGTTCTCACACGGAGAAGATTTGAGCATTAATCACCACGCTTGCTCACTGCGGGTAGCAGGTGGCAAGTACCCAATTATAAACTTATCGATCACATTTCCCCGATTCAATGGGGATTGTTTTCAAATAGAATCAACTCTGAATTTATAATTTAATAGCAAAGATGTAAATTAAATGTCGTAAAATCAAGACTTATAATTGTATAAAGACTGCATTATTTTGTTTTATACATTTACCTATATACTAGGTAATTTGATTGCATTTTCTTTAAACCAGTAAGTAAAGTACATAATTTTGTATGCATTAATAAATCAGTTTTATTATGTGTGTTTATTATTATAAAATTTTATTTGATTAGAAAGAAAGAAAGAAGGAAAGGAAGTAATTTGTTTTTAAGTTACATAATAAGATACATAACATTACGCCTTTTATCCCCGAAGGCAGAGGTGCACATTATCTACGGCATTTTATGCCACTGTACAAAGGTAAACCCACTTTTCACTATTTATGTTAAGAGTCCCATGTGAACCTATAGCCATATACCGGGCACAATTCCAGACTTCGTGCTACTACTAAGATTTTTTTAATAACCCAGTAATATTTTGCCCGTCCCCGGAATCGAACCCGAGACCTCTGCCATGCAGTCGCTTTAGCGACCACTCGGCCAACAAGGCTGTCAAAATAAGACACTTTTATACTAAAAGATCATCCTTTATCCCGTGGTATACCGGGATGTAGATCCACGCGAGACAACGTATTTTCTATTGGATCTCAATATGGCTCTCCCACATTTAAAATACTGGCACTCAAGAGATAATTCTTATAAAAAAGTTTTTCAATCACCAATTACAGATAATGAAATTGAGTCCATAGATACAATTTGAAAATGCATTCTTAATAATTTGATGGAACATCAACCGGTCGACTAAAGGCACTAGAGCCAATATCATTGCGGAGGGTGGACAGTAAAACAAGGGCTAGTAACAAATGGTACGGTAGAACAAAAGTGCCAATAAAATGTAGTTCAAATTTATAGCTACGCAGCTAATCGCCCGTGTGATTGAGGCGTAGTGCAGACAAAACAGAAGGATCATTCAGGCATATTTTTTGTTATATTCGACTTTACTTGTTGTAATAATATATCTTTATATATATAATTCTTCTGTGAGTGTGTATGTCACTAAACTTCTCTCAAATGACTGGATCGATTTTAATGAAATTTTTTGTGTGTTCAAGGGGATCTGGGAATGGTTTAGATTCACAAATCAGCCCGGCAGATGGCGCTGCCGTCGTTATTTAGGTTATTTATCCTAAACGGCTGAACTAATTTGAATTAATTTTTGTTTATACATTCAAGTGGATATGCAGGACAACGTCTGTCGGGTCCGCTAGTTACAACATATAATACTTGTTGTAATAGTGATGGGAAGTTTATTTATTTATTTATACCACCTTACAGTTAATTCCAATGCAATATCATATTTCCTGACATATTTAAGTCCAACATGTAACTTAATAAAACTAATGTAACTCTAAGTATGATATACATATTATAACAATATAGAAACAATTACTCAATACGGTGAAGTTTGACTGTTTAGTTTAGTTGTTTAGGCCGGTAAGGCACTTGGAACTCCTCTAGTGTTGCTGGGGTCCATGGACCTAATCTCTTACAATCGTCCGCCCGTTTTCACATAAAAAATAGTATTTGACGACACGGTTGGTGCGGTGGCTGGGCAACCGGCTGCCGTGCAACGTGTCGCGGGTTCGATTCCCGCACGGAACAACACTTTGTGTGATCCACAAATTGTTTGTTTCGGGTCTGGGTGTCATGTGTATGTGAACTTGTATGTTTGTAAACGCACCCACGACACAGGAGATAATCCTAGTGTGGGGCAACGTTTTTATAAAACTAAAAACTAAAAGTATGTGCAGAGATGTGTAAAAAAATCATGACAGACAGAAAGTTGCACGTGTAACCTCTTTGGATTGGAATGACCTCCAGACAGGTTTGAAAATTGTTATATTTATAAGAAAAATATACAGGTTATTATATTGCTTAAGTATGTATTGATCTAAGCTACCGCCCCCTGTAGTAGTTACGTCATATTATTTATTGGACACATTTTTTCTGAGGGGGAATATCATTAAAATTAATCTTACTGACTAAAAACCATCCTGTTCCAACTCCAGCTCCTGGGTCTCGGTATATATATCATTACGCTTTACTGGACACCCGCAACTTTAGTATTTACTGGACACCTGTATACTCATATACGTGTAAAGTTGAACTACTATAATTTATGCCCAGTGGCGGTATGTCCCCTACCGTAACGAGACAGGTGTACAACATGTGTTACGAACGCTAAGTCCACATGTTCGGACGTTTGTGACGTCATCAATTAGTTTTAAGTGCTACCCAAGTGAGAAACAAGCACTTTAAATTCACATAATTATGTTTATCATAGATATGAGTATACTTAATCGTTTTATTGGCACTAATAGTAATGAGACAATCGTTTTAATCGGTACTTCTCGCATAATTATCACTAATTTAGTTGAGGGCAATTGCGTAGGTAGGTACCTTGTTTTTCTTTGCAGTTAAAGCTATCACCAACGAAGTGATATAGATTTAAAATATGGCGTGGTATCGAAACCGCGATGGCTGCCATCCCAGTCACTGCTGCAGTAAAATTTCTGCAAAATATGTACTTTTTTTTAAGGGGGGAAAATCATCGAATGACTGCTCCCACCTGGGTGAGGCGGGAGGGAGTGTCAGACTCTTACTGACTAAAAACCACCCCGTTCCTTCTTCTGCACGTCGAGCCGGAGCCCCGGCTACCCGTTAGGTTCTCCGCGACTCCGAAAAATAGGTACTTATCTTGTTAAAATACACATCTAATTCGATTTTCATTGCAAACGGAGTTCGCCTGTAGAGACACGCAACAAGTTATCGATTTGTTTTGACAATAACACATTACCATAAATAAATACACCGATAGAATCACGCTGTTAATAATCTTCATAAAATGACGTCGATAGACGGGTTATCGAATTTTATAAACCCTTATCAAGTTTATTGTTACGCCTGATAATTATTTTTCTAACCAGAGACAAGAGCGTGACGAGATGTAATGATATTGTAAAAAAAACATTTCCCGCGTTTTTCACCCTTCGCAGCGGCCATATTGTCAGGTGTAACCGCCAACCGGAACGCAGCCGTGCCAGTCGCCGGGTCCGTATCCAAATTCATCCCTTGATATTAAAAAATATAATTACAAATAGTATTTTATAAGGTTAAAGAAAAATCTGCTCTATACTCTACAAAATTACGTATAAGTTTGATTGGTTTCATTTTTCATTGAGCTTTGAAGGGCAATGACGTCATGAAGAAAAAGGAATAAAATATTCTGGAAAGATCTATGAGTAAAGGGTAGGTAAGTACCGACAGCGCTACTATTTTTAAGGAGTTAGTTGTAGAATCATAAATAACCACCTTAACCTGCCTAGGCAGATTATTTTAGCTCTTTATCAATGAAACTGTAATAATCATGCCTATAACTACAAATTAAATCGTAGCATGACCGTGATGAAAGCTATAAGCTAAAGCTAATTTAAAACATAAAAAAATTGGATATTGCACACCCCAGAACCTAGTCATACAAATAAAGAAACAGCAGACCAAGAATAATAACATCACCAACACCGTTCGATGCAAGTAAGTACCTACCCACGGTGAATTTCGACCTTAAACCAAAATGTACAGTCATGACACACATAACTACAAGTCTTCATCAAAACTGAAAGGTCAAATTTCAGGTTACAACGACCTTTGCCCCCTTAGTCATTACATTTCAGATTACGTATAGGTAAATATATATTCTACAATCTGAACAAACGTAACGCCTTCGTAAAATCACGTTCCATGTTAATTAGATTGATAATAGATTTTATTAAGATCCAGTGCAAAGAGCTTCTGAAGTATCCAATTTAAAAATTTTGGTAACGTCGCTGTTTTTTTTTAAGGGGAGAAAATCATCGAATGACTGCTCCCGCATGGGTGAGGCGGGAGGGAGTGTCAGACTCTTACTGACTAAAAACCACCCCGTTCCTTCTCCTGCATGTCGAGCCAGAGCCCCGGTTACCCGTTAGGTTCTCCGCGACTGGTAACGTCGCTGTTGGATCATATATTGATTCGAACGTCAAATACTATCAGGGATAATATACGTCCTCGTAAACTCTGTGTTTGTCCCATGGCATGTGTTTAGGCACAAACAATAGATAGCTCAGAGTATCATTTGGTAAGATCTAGCTGCCATCAGTCAGGGAAAGATATGAGAAATTGATACCGTATCACCTAAAACAAACTGTCGCGGAGAACCTAACGGGTTACCGGGGTTTCGGCTCGACGTGCAGGAGAAGGAACGGGGTGGTTTTTAGTCAGTAAGAGTCTGACCCTCTCTCCCGCCTTACCCATGCGGGAGTAGCCATTCGATGACTTACCCCCCCTTAAAAAAATCACCTAAAACTATTAAACCTAAACTTATCAGAGAAACGATAGATCTGGAGATCATGATAGTATGATAGACCTAGTACAAATTCTTAAAAAAGGCAGTTTTTAAGAGTCAAAAGTAAGAATTTTCCTTCAGTCAACAAGCGGTTGTATTACCAATTCTCAAGGGTAGCATGTGTGCTGTTTCCATAAGACTTACTGAATCATTATCGAAACAAAGTAAACAAGGGGTCTGAACGACATTGAACAAGCACTTGCCGTAATTCTCTATTTAGACGGATCAAATAAATTGGAGCTTTACAAATTAATGTTAAATTGATATAGTTTCAGCATTTTCTTTGTATGAGGGGACCATATTTAAAGGGAAGTTTGTATGCTGAATTATCTATAAGTACATACCTAAGTATGGAGATAGGAACAATAATAAAATAGTAAGAATACAAGAATAGATATCATATTGTACGTAACCTTTCCAAATATGGAAGAGTGAATCAATTCCTGAAATCATGGTATGTTCAAGTGACGTTATTATTGCTCGATATAAAATTTAAATGGTAATTTAGGTAAGGTCGATATTAAAAAAAAACCATGAATGAGCAAAATAACAACGTTAATTGAAAATGTGAGTGATATCACGGAAGTACCCGCACGGCCGGGTCATGACGATATGCCTCAGAAACCATCGATCAGGCCCGCACTTAGGGCACTAGGGATCATAAAACAGACATAAATATTAATACTTAGTTATTGTTTGCTGAAAATAACAGTGCTTTGTTCCATTTGCGTGTTTTCCATGTCAAACTACGTCATGATGGTAGCAACTTCTATGGAACCCAACATCAGTGGTGGCGGGTTGGTGCACAGTGCCAGCTCGGTCCGGTCCTGGGTCCGATAACCGTGACTAATTGTCTGGAGCTATCAGCGATGCGGGCCGGCGTTGTCTTGCGGTGGAAAAATATCGATCGCAGCACACACCTGTTCGGAATCGTTCGACGGTGCACACAATGGGGCGCGCACCTGCCCACTAGCTCGCGCGCCGCCGCTCCGCGCGCACACACGCACTCGACGCCGACGCGACACCATGCGCGCGGGGGGGCGCCGCTGACCGCCGCGACGTCACACCGGCCGCGCCGTCGCCGATCGATTCCTTTCGGACATCTTGGACAACACCGTCCACCACCTCCTTTTTTCTCAGGTAATACAAATCAAGTGATCAAGTACTTCCATTGCTAGTGTTTCCATTATTCATAATTCAAAGAAATCGAAGTTTTCGATATTAGCTGATTCATCAACTACGTGACTCATCAGTTCTTTGTCGCAATATTTTCAGGGCGAGCGATGTAGTAGGCCGCGATGCATATAACGTCAAGCCTGTCTCCGGCGTCCGGCGAGATGCTGGACACGGCATCGCTTAATTTTTACGGAGATGCAGGAGACCAGTATGGGACGACGTACTTCGCTGTGGACCACACGGTTCCGGAGTCGTCCCACACAGTTGAGATAGAGTATGTGTACGAGCAGCCAGATACCTATGCCATCAACCAAGAAGATATAGAAACAGATGTGCCTCAGAGTGAACAAGTCGTTGCGGCTGATCAAGTTGAATACTCTAAAAAGATTCACAGCAAACACAAGGCTAACAAGATGGTTGTAGACGAGGAGCCGGAGGCTGATCTCACGAATTTGACGTGGTTGCAGAATATTACAAACATAATGTCGGTGCCGCAGTTTCCGATACCTCCTGTTTCGCCGGCTCCGCAGGTGAAGGTACAGCCGCAGAACACGAGGCTGCAGAAGTTTAATCAGACAATAGCGAAGTGTCAGAAGGACTTTACTGAGAACAAGCATGAGTATAGGACAAACAGTGAGAAGAAGCCGCCGTACTCGTACAGCACGCTGATCTGCATGGCGATGAGGTACAACAACGATAAGATGACGCTCTCCGCGATATACTCGTGGATCAGGGAGAATTTCAAGTTCTACAGGAACGCCGACCCCACCTGGCAGGTGAGTGCTATCGCTCCGGTAGGAACAGCTCATGATTTAATAAACGTGTGGTCCGCAAACATTGTGATAAGATTACGTCTAATTGAATTTATGAATAGGGAGTCGAGTGTTTGATTGATAAGTTTATTGGATATTTATTAGCGATTGCTGATTACAAATATATTCGTAAAAACAATTCAAAGGGGGTCTTTTTAATTGTAAAATATCATGAACTATTTTTTATTGATGTGTAGTGTATTACACAACTTGTGTAAAAGCCTTTCTTTCTTCTAAGTCATGGATGCCTAGTATATGACTTCTCATATGAGTATTAAAATATTTTTCCTCAATTTTCAGAATTCCATCAGACACAACCTGTCTCTAAACAAAGTGTTTGTGAAAGTAGCTCGATCAAAACACGAGCCGGGGAAAGGAGGCTTTTGGAAACTCGACCTCGCACATTTAGAAGGAACCAAACGAATCTCAAATAGACCTCATAAGAAGAAGAAATCAGCATCCAAGGAAAAAGCCACAGAGGAAAAAACTGCAGTCGCCAACATTCCGCAGGTCAATGCGGTAGAAGAAATGTCTAATGAAATAAATCAGGCTGTGATGCTGCACTTACCTGATTTCAATATTGGGAGCATTCAAAGTCTTCCTGACATTGATTTAGAGACGAATATCGGAGCTAATGTGATTGTGGAGCCGGCTGTGCCACCTCCTTTGATGCCCGAAGATGACCTGTCGTCCTTACTCCTCAACCCTACGGAGTGGAACGACCTACAACTAGACATGTTGGATAATTACCTGGACTCTTGTTTCGAGTAAGTTTTTAAGCATTTGTTGTTAGTCGTATCTGTTCCAATTCGATGTTAGTGAGTGTACAGGTTCGTTTTAGTAGTCGATGATAATTATTTGATTTATGACGTTTCATTTTTATGATATAAAACTGGTGCATTTCGTAGTTGTCCGATTTTCTATAGTGACTGCGACATGAACTGTTTGTGCTTTCCCCGGGAAACTAATCTGTAATTTTTAGTGTGCCTTTAAATATGAACAAAATTAACGATAGAAAAATAGTAGAATTTATGAAAGCCGTCCTTAATTAAATATAAAAATATACATGGTTAAATAGGAGAAAATGTTTAATATTTATAAGCGTAACGTCGTCGTCGGTATTCTGTGGTAACAGACAGTCAAACCCTTCACTAGTATTCTATCAACTGGATGTGAATACATTTTATATTTATCTCATTTTGTACAAGATAAATAATTTAGTCTAGTCAAAAAAAGGCTTTTGCGAAAGATTAGGTAGGAATTTTAATGTTGAATTTGTTTTATATACGTAAAATGTAGGGAGTCGTGAATTCATCTTAAGAAACACTATTATTAAAGTATTAAATTAATGTGTTTAAAAAAAGTCAATAGATTATAGATTTTTATTATTTAAACATATCATTGTGTCGTACAAACACCAGAATCGATATCTTGAACAGTAATAGGATTAAATTGTGTTATTTAGGTTTTTTATATAATAATAGTATTTAAGGCACAATTTATTAAATGAAGCCGTCCTGGACTTACTATATAGACAGAATATCGTAACCATTATATATATTAAAACAGGTATAAATACCTAAATTATTATATAAATTCATCATTGCTGTCGGGGTAAAAATATCCAATTTGTGTCTATAGTCATTTAAATTAATATGGGTCTTACTAAAATGTCATAGTGAAGGAATGAAGATTAAATAACAGTGTCTTTAGTTAAAATAACGCCTGTCTCCCATCGGGGTAGGCAGAGACAATGAAACGCCAATTACTACGATTACAAATTTTCAAAATCTTATTACTAAATATAGTGATTCTGAAAATCGATAGTTTGTTGAATAAAATTGCTTCATTCATTATAAGAATTAAAATTGTGGTTACAGAGGTATGAAATACTTCAAAACTAATTGTCTCAAAATTAATAATTTTGCTCAATCAAAGCTCAGTTGTTTGCCTAATAAATTGGGTTACAAATAACATGACAGTATTATGAAACGTATGCACAAACAATTTTGTAGCAATCTATTTACTTGCTAGATTGTAAATCTATGCGTTGTAGAGTTAACAACTAAGAATGAACTTGAAACCTCCTTGTTTGAAAGTCGGTTAAAAATAAAACAATTAACTGATTACATGAATCGATAAGTAACTATGGTAAGTCATTAATTTTGGTCAACATTCAGTGGGTTAGTCATAAAATTATTGATTTTTTTTACATGAGAACATTTAAAAGCCATTTATGCAATGTCTGTTTGAAGGACAAGAAAAACATATTTATGCTTTTAAAATATAAATGAAAGATTAAATGATTTTGCTTCTAATGTTTAATTAATCCACAAAATTAAAATCTTTGAAATAATGTTTTATAATAGATAAAATACCAAATAAATTAATGGCTGTGTACTATTAAGTACTATAGTTAAAATTATACACTCATAGTTGTTAACTTTAAAAACGCTATAAATTTAAGCTTATGTAAAAAATGACGTATTTACCGCTCAGTATTACAATGTACAAAGTATTAGTAAATTAATTTTCTACTTCTAAGGAGTGTGGCAATATTTTATATTTATACATGTAATTATATATAATATTATCTTATTTTGTAAGTGTCTTATGAAGCATTATCAGATAATCCGTCCAGTATTATAAACAGTCAACTGTTTTGAGAGAATTTTGCTCAGAAAAGATATATAAATATGTGTAAAATCTGAAAGCAATTTAAGAGTGCTTAAGCTTAAGTTTATTATTATTCGATCGAAAATTTGGGCTTTTATGTATTTATTATCGAATACTATTTTAAATTTATCAGTATATGATACCAGTGCTATCAAGGGTGTAATAAAGCAATAAATAATTAAAATGATATGCATATTACAATTTCTGGAATTTTGGGAGACTATCACGTCTTAATTATTATACAACAATATTATAATATGTCATGTAACTAGCTTACAAAAAATATATCCAATAACAGTATGTACCCATTAGCATCTCGTAATATTTGTATTCAGTACATAGTAACTTTATTATTAGCAAATTAGTATAACTTGTGTTGTGTTAGATTTTATGTGAACAAACACATATGTAAATTAATTTATGTTACATGCACAATTAGTAAATAAATATGGTGTTTAATAAATATAATCTGTAAAGTCTTATAGATTTAAAATGTAGAAAAATCTTCCGTCCGTGAGTGTCTTAAAAGATTTAATGTAAAAAAATAAAAAGGTATCTTACCGTATACCTTTCTAGTTTCTTGTAAAACTAAAAATGAATTGTTGAAGTGGAATATTTGTTAATTAATAATGTGGTAAATTATTGCCTACCAACGAGTCGTCGGTCATGCATTGAGATTTGAACTCTATTTTCGGGTCGGGAAAAGTATTATTGGGCTTTTGTACTTGGAAATTCTCTGTATTAAAAATTGTTCCCGACTCACAGTGTTTGACAACTTTGGTAACAGACTAGCTCCCTATAAAGGAGGGAAATTTGAGTATACAACCTCTCTTTACTCTTATGAGGAATGGTGTTGTATGTTTATGTGTATTATAATAAAAATTCCCCATATTTTTGAAATTCAGGCGTCGCATTTCTGACACTGAATCGATATGAAATGTAATAACTAAAACGTATGTGAAAAAAGTACTTACAAGGTTTATATGCCTTTTCTTAGACGATTTATCTTTTACGCAGATAAAGTGTATTTAGATAAAAAGGGGAATGAATTTTGTATTTAACGCTCTAAGAATTGATACGCAGGCGTTTTAAATAATCTTGAAAAATTATTATAATAAAAAAGAAATAACAAGTATTTAATTAGACATTCCCAGTTATGTCTTATAATGTTAAGTGCCTGCAACATGTACTAGTCATATTAATATTGTGTTTACGTGTTTAGAAATTAGGATTATAGAAATGTGAAAACGAAATATGTATAATTGTAATTTATTTTGTATAACTTACAAACAATAATGTATAATTATTTTAATATAATTTCTTGTGGCACAAATATTAAATTCTTATTACATTTAAAAATTAAGTTGTAGTACTATGTACTATTTTTTATTAGTCAAAACTTATTACAATTTGGTACGATTTAAAAAATGATTATTTACTTACTAAAAATAATAATAAACGAAATAAGTAGTATTTTTTAAATGTCAAACAATACTGAATTAAAAAGCATTTCTTCTAAAATATGTTTTTAATTAAATCGTACTGAAATTGTTTGGTATTACAAATGGTTGTTTTGTAATTGATCGCTCAAAACATTACGCGATTTCATGTTTAGAAGTGTCCTTAACATATTCAATAAAGTGTTACAATGTAATATTGTTGTTTTCTTTATCGATTTATGTACAATAATTTTCTATCTTAAGTGTTAAGAGTACTTCCCCTTCAGGTAGCATTACAAAATTCCACCCTGTATATATTACACATGGTTTATAATATTTGAAGTTTATGTTTCATATATATTTGAAGTAAACATGTTGAGGATTTTAGCTACTTATTAAATACGTTTTTACAAGAATTCAAAAGTAACTATATATTTTTTTTTACATTTAAGCTCCATTTTGGAGCTAATATCGCAGATATTTTATTTTCATTTATTTAAAAAACGTTGTCCCACACTAGGATTTTCTCCTGGGGTGGGTTTACAAAACATACAAGTTCACAACATATACCCAGACCCGAAACAACAATTTGTCGATCACACAAAGAGTTGTTCAGCGCGGGAATCGATCCTGCAACTCGTTGCGCGGTAGCTGGTTGCACAGCCACCGCACCATCCGCGCGGCAGACATATAAAATCCTTACTAATATTATAAATCGGAAAGTGAGTTTGTTTGTTTGTTCCGCCTTCACGCCGTAACTACTAAACCGATTGCTTAGAATTTTTGCAGACGTAAAGTTAGAAGTCCGGATTAAATAATACTTTTTATCCCGGAAAAATTTCATATTCCCGAGGGAAAACAAAAGTATTGGTATAGATGGCGCTGTATGTATTGATATATGTCACATAGGCTACTTTTTATCCTTTTGTGACGCGAGCGAAGCCGCGGGTAAAAGCTAGTACGTAAATAATTAAATAATATTTTATTCAATAAATTCATAGAGAATGTCCGTTTTGTTTAGAGGTATTAATTATGACTAGTTCTACTAGTTGGTCTAGTTACATAGATATTTGAATATCAACTATCAAAACATATTCTAAACAAATATTCATAAATCCTATCGTTTTTATTACAAAATGGAATGTTAGTTTTTGCATTAATAATACTCTCAAAGCAAATGCTTGCCATCATTGCAATAGCCGCATTAATATTACCACTGGGTAGCGTTGGCAACACTGATGCATCCGCAACATACAGATGTTCTACTCCCAAAATTTTAAAAGAAGTATCGACTACAGTATTTTTCGAGTCTGGTAACCCCATAGAGCAAGTACCTACAGGATGGTAGCTTGTTAATGTCAAATGTTTTATGTAGCAGTCAAAGTATGAATCTGTAAAAATCTCAAAGTTTTCACAACCAGGGAAATGGTTTTGGTTAATGGAACCTCCGACTTTTTGAATAGCTTCTGTATTAACAAACTTCATGACTAGTTTCAAACCATTAATTAAAGTGTCTCTATCATCCTTATGAGACAAATACTTGGGGTCAAATAAAGGCGGTAAACTAGGGTCAGTACTATTAATAATAACATAGCCTCTACTCTTAGGATGTAATATCAAAGGTAAAATAGTTCCTACATAGCTATCAAAACTTTTTGAGAAATATTTATCCCATATTTCATCTTTTAAATTAACATTATTTTTTAATAAACTCCCTCTATCTGAGGAGAGTCCTACTGGCAACACCATAAATTGTAAATCTGGTTCTGACTGGTTTTTGGTAGAAAGGAAACCAATTACTTCACATCCTGGTGTTGTCCATGGACCCTTTCCTTTGATAAAATATTCTAAAACATGGAATGGATTAATCATATCCAAAGCACTAATTGAAACAGACTTATTAAATAATACAAAATCTAATCCAGTACCTATATGGTCTTGGAGATTTCTACCAACTGGTAGATTTTTTATCACTGGTATACTTAAAGATTTAAGTAGATTTTCAGGCCCAATACCTGATAGTTGTAGTATTTTTGGTGTATTAATTGCTCCTGCAGATAATATAACACCTTTTCTTGCATAAATCGTACTTTGCTTACCTAATGAAAGGACCTGAATGCCACTAGCAGTGTTGTCATTAAAAATTACTTTTTCTACCAATACATTGGTAATAACATGTTTTGATTCTAAATTGTCAGAAGTGGACCATCGTTTTCCATATTTTTGACTGACTATATTTTTTCTGAAACCTAGCTTGAAATCTTTGTCTAAGTTTGAATAACCTAATTCTTTAGCTGCTGTTAATATTGTGTTGGCTAATTCACTTTCATACTGTACTTCATTGAGATGTAAAATGTTATTTTCTATGTATTCAAACTGTTTTTGAATGTACTCTTTGGCGTATTTACCATGAAACCAGTTCTGATAGTGTGTCAGATTACCGCGGACATGTATCATGTTGTTCAACTTTGATGACCCTCCAACAATCTTGCCTTGAGCTAGTTTACATCTCTGCAAAAAATAAAGTTAAAAGTCACTTATAAAATACATAAATTAATTATCTTCTCGCGTGTTTCTCGTACACATAGGTGTATGAGAAACGCGCACCGATTGGATATTTTTTCTGTGACTATATTTTCAAGTTTGCAACCCGTTCTTTATTTGATTGAACAGAATAGTTAATTAGTTTTTCTATTAAAATATTTACCCGTGTGTACGAGCACGCGCGTTTACCCGTGTATACGAGAGGCGCGCGAGAGATTAATATTTTAAAATTTGAAAGAATCTCATTTGACGATATCTTTGTAACCCACTAACCATAAATCGACGAAAAAAAATTATTGTATATTTTTATAAAATAAGGATAAGCAACTTACTCTATCCTTCATAGCAAAGCAACCATGTTTCTGAGGTACAGTCTGATACTGCCAGTCCAACAGTGACCCATGGAAGAATGGGCCAAGAACCGGTGCTTCAAGTAATGCATGGCTTCTGGTACCTGCTTCCACCACTATAAAAGTATAATTTGTCTCTGTTGCTAGTCTATGGGCTATCACAGAGCCAGCTGTGCCGGAACCAACTGGAAATAGGAAATATGATAGAAATATCGTGCAATAACTATCCTAGTTATGGTATATCTACTTAAATAAATATGAATATGGTATGCATGTGTCATATACTTAAATATATATGAATATGGTATGGTAAGCATGTCATATGCATGTGGTAAAAAGCGATTATTTATTTATTTATTTAGTCTTTAATGTACACAATTTTATTATGGCACACAAGGCGGATTTAATGCCATATGGCATTCTCTACCAGTCAACCTTAGGGTTTAAGTAGAAAATCTCAATCTCAAAAATCCGAAAAATAAGGTACGGAGAATAAACTAACAGCAAATAGAGAAAGAAAAAAAAAGGTAATTATTAAATAATTATTTCAATATTACAAACAGACACTCCAATTTTATTTATTAGTAATATACAAATGACTGAATTTTACTGAACTGAATGATGAATGAATTTTATTTTAACTCTTTATTGTTTTATTTCATTTGTATATTTGAGTGAGTTCATCATAATTATCTGATTTAGAACACAGAGTCAATAGATACTACAGAGTTGACAAGTTTGGGTTTTTCAGCAATCTGCTTTATTATTGTACAAAAAAGTGTCGCGTATGTCGTATCCGTTTTATCTGTCGTATCGGTCATTTTTGTCGCGTCGGTCGGTAATGTCGTATCTGTCGTATCGGTCATTTTTGTCGCGTCGGTCGGTAATGTCGTATCTGTCGTATCGGTAGTTTTGTCGTGTCGGTCGTGTTTGTCGTATCCGTCTTATTTGTCGTGTCGGTCGTGTTTGTCGGTTGTGTCTGTCTGTCGTGTCGTTTAGGTTGTCTGTCATGTCCGTCGTATCTGTCGTATCAGTCGTTTTTGTCGGGTCGGTCGTGTGTGCCGTATCTGTCGTTTTTGTCGTGTCTGTCGAATTTGTAGTGTCGGTCGTGTTTGTCGTGTCGGTCGTGTTTGTCGTGTCGGTCGTGTTTGTCGTGTCGGTCGTATCTGTCGTGTCGGTCGTATCTGTCGTGTCGGTCGTATCTGTCATGTCGGTCGTGTTTGTCGTGTCGGTCGTTATTGTCGTGTCTGTCGTGTCTGTCGTGTCGGTCGTGTTTGTTGTGTCGGTCGTGTTTGTCGTGTCGGTCGTTATTGTCGTGTCGGTCGTTATTGTCGTGTCGGTCGTATCTGTCGTGTCGGTCGTGTCTGTCGTGTCGGTCGTGTCGGTCGTGTCTGTCGTGTCTGTCGTGTCGGTCGTGTCGGCAGAGGTCGGTACTAATAATAAGGCTTGGTTTGTAACGGAGCAGCGGCATTATATTTTAGATGAACGAGTAGTTATTATGGCTTAACTGTAATGGTTAGATATAATAATATGATATCATGGACTTTTAAATTGATATGAATGCCCTCTATAAAACTGTATATCTGCTATGCTCTATTGTTCATAATTTCCACAGCGTAAGCAAAATAAGGAGCTTTTTTGGTAGTTTTTTTTACTCATTGGGTTACATTATCGAAATTTTCATATGGTACCCTTTTTATCTCTTATTAAATATACTCTATGTTCATCAGGGATAATGTAAGATTCCAATGGTAAAAGAATTTATCAAATCGGTCGGGTGGTTTCGGGGCCTATATAATTCAAACAAAAATCAAATCATTCCTCTTTATAATATTAGTGTAGATTTCAAATGTTTAGAGATTATTTTTATATGAACGAATTTGGTTAATTATTGTTAAATAATTTCAATAAATAATTTACTCTACTCTACTCCAATTATTTTAAACATTTCTCATAAATCGTCAAAAGTGAAAGATTAAGACAGTCAGAGTTTATTCTACATCATACAATTTGTTTTATTATTACAAACCTATTATAAGCTTCATAAAAATAAGGCAGACAGAAAAAAGGTAAAAGACGACTTCATATGCAAAACTTACCAATGATAAAGTCATATTCGTGCTTAATTTCTTGATAATATGCTGTTGATAGTAACTCACTGTAGTAAACAAAGTATATAAACAACGTAGATATATTAACACAAACACTAAATAACAAAAACTGACAACAATGTATTGGTAACATAGTGAATTATCATCATAAACTAATATTTAATTTTTGTACTGCAGTTTTGTTTCATAAAATCGAAATTATTCGTCATTTGTGTTTAGGTTATATTTGTTTACAATTTTTGAAACGTATGAATGAACTTCATTTGACATTGACAAATGTTATTTTGACATTAGGTTTATTTTGTTTAAAGGAAACATGGTCTTTTTAGTTGATATGAAATAACTTCCTAGACAACTACCCATTCTTTTAAAATTTGGTGGACGAAACAAAACTTTACCTAAAGTTCGTAAAGACTGTTGTTTTTTTTAAAGTAGTATGTAATTTGGAAATTCTTCTGTCTGAAAAAATCATGCTCACCTTTTGGTACAATCCAGGATTGCTAGGTGCTAGGCAAATGCCATATTAATTAGGCAATATGTATTTAGACAGACTATTTTTGCACTTGTGAATACCAATGGAAAGTATAGGAACAACTGCGCAAGCAGAGGTAGGGTTAAATTAATTACTAGGGTTGTGTCTGGTCTTTAAAATTTATTGAAATGAAGAAAAAACACAGTTGCTATATCACATTGTATACTTCTTTATTATTGAATAGCTACTTAAATACAATAAATATAAAACTTGATAGCGTACATTCACTATTATAATAAAAAATGATGCTACTTAACAATAGAGTGCAGAGGCAAGGAGAACTACATCTTCTCTCTTTAGTCATAAACATCAGTTCTGAGGTCAATGGACCATCGAATAAATTGGTCACTATAATAGGACACATTTTCAAATAACACTTTTCCTAAAGTAATCAAATAACAGAGATAGTTCTCCTTACGTCTATCATACATCTTAGTAAAAATTAAAAAAAGTTACACCATTACCTACTCGCTTTACGCTTAAACTATGATACACACATTCAGACGAACATACTGGAAATTGTTTATAACATTTGTGGTTTTAATTTCAGCCTATCAATGGTTTCTTGTGGCATACAGTAAACGGGGTTGACTGGTTTGATCTTACTATTGCCGAGTAATGAGAGACTGGCTACACCGAAGAGTGTGTGGAATGGGTCTGTAATGTCTCCTGGTCGGTCACTGAATCCGCCAGTGTCTGGGTCCTGGCACGCCATTATGAACTGCTCCAGTCTCTCTTTGTCCACCCAGCGCATCTTGTTCAAGATTTTTAGGGATGATATAACCCACCTGGAAAAAAATATTTAAATTATAATGTAGTAAGTTAATTTCAGTAAGTAGTTCTTTTGAAGAAAATATTATATTCAAGAAACCAGTAGACAGACAGTAAAAAAATACACACATTCATTATTAACACATTAAACGCCACAGGTATTATCGGTCACTAACGTTAACAAGGGATTTGCCTTCAACAGTTTTCTATTGGCAGTCAAAAGGTTAAAACACGTAAAAAAAATTTTTTATACCATGAATAGCACAAGTCAGGTAGTTTTTCAGGCCTGCCATTCAGGCCACCGCTGGGCAGTTGACGTTCACAAAGCCACCAAGCCAAAGCATCCACTTTGAGTGCGTCCAGCCTCTTGCAGATGGAGAGAGTGCCAACACAGCAGTAGATGAGCCCTGGTAAAAAAAATTAAGAATAAAATTGTAAGTTTCAATTCTACTTCCGCGCGGTTTCACACGCTCTGCCCGTAGGCCCGTTGGTCGTAGCGTGATGGTTTATAGCCTATAGCCATCCTCGATAAATGCATTATCCAACACAAAAAGAATTATTCAAATCAGACTTGTAATTACGGAGATTAGCATGTAAACAAACAAACAAAAAAACAAACTCTTCCGCTTTATACAGTAGTGTATGAGTATAAGATATGCACTAATATGCAGTGAATATGACCTACAAATTACTCTTGCTTTTTTGCAGGCGTTTTAAGCTTTGATGCTGTAAAAACGATTTCAGTGAATACTGTATGTCTATGATTACAAAATTACTTCCAAATATTTGTTAATTACTTAGCTAAGTTGGACTTAATCAGCCTTTGTTTTTTGTCAACAACTTGATCATTTCAAACTTCATAAGTGCCTTAGCAGATGTTTAAAAGTCTTATTTACAATTACACAGTACTTTAACTCACCAGCATGACTTTCAGATCCAGGTTTGGATCCAAACCCTCCGTCAAAGTTCATGCAGCTTAGCACAAACTCAACCGCCTTGTCAACATTGATAGCATCCAGTCGATGCAGGAGTGAGAGGCACATCACAGCACAGAATGTGAACCTCGTATCTTGCTCGCCCCAGATATCACCTGTATAAACAAAATCTTTTAACGTTCTGTGTTTAGGATATTATCACTTTTGTTTTTTTTAATCACTCACAGATTTGGACTCATTTATGTATTTCTAGTACAAAGTCCGTGTTCTAAGATTCAAAATGTAAGGAGCATGCAATATATTATATACTATATAATATAATATAGAATACTCATTGTAATCTGGGCGCTACCAATGTATTAAAAATAATGTTACTTAACAATTAAAATTAAATAAGGCATTTATTTATTAGCAAAGACAGGCATACCATAGAAGCTCCCGTCAGGTTGTTGTAGCGAAGCCACAAACTTGACCACACCCTCAACATCTATGGCATCCAGCCGGTTGTACATGGTCAAGACCTAAAAGAACAAAGTTTTCACTTAAACATTTTTAAAAATAACTCAGACAAGTTATGGAACCATTTTAAATAGGCAGAAAACTGTTTAGAAATAATTCATGTTATTTGGTAACTATAGTTCTAAATATAATCTAATCACTAGACTGAATATTGTTATCTTTTACTTGAAATTTATAAACAATAGAAGTACCCATACATCAGAAAAATATTAAAAAATTCCAAATAATGTACTTTTTAAATTACAATGACTTATGTGTTATTCACGAAAAAGTACACCTGTGCCAGTCTTTTGACTCTTGTTGCCACAATTCTTTATTAAAGATTCCGCTGAAAGTGGCTGAATTTTTGCTTACTTTATCCCAAATAGTGTTTAAGTATTATGAAATCATAAATTCTGAGGTAATTGCTTTAGTTTAGAAAAGAGTGTTGTTTCAGTTATGTTCAGGGACAGTAGCATGAGACACCTACCTGTATAGCACTCAGAGTGTACAGAATGTGTGGGTCATGTGGGAAGCATGCTGAGATGCCACCCGACTCCTTGTTCTGGCATGTTGAGATGAAGCTTATTATGTCATCCTTTGGCATCCTGTGTGATGAAAACATTCAATACTTTTAGGAAACTAATTTCAAAATGTTTCAGTTGTAAGTATAAAATAACTTATACCAATTTAGATACAGAGTGCACAGTTGGTGCGGTGGCTGGGCAACCGGCTGCCGTGCAACGTGCCGCGGGTTCGATTCCCGCACGGAACAACACCTTGTGTGACCCACAAATTGTTGTTTCGGGTCTGGGTGTAATGTGTATGTGAACCTGTATGTTTGTAAACACACCCACGACACAGGAGAAAATCCTAGTGTGGGGCAATGTAAAAAAAAGAACAAGAACAAAGAGTAATAAAGACTTTCGTTCAGTTATTTCGGACACAAAATTATTATGGTTATTAGGATAACGTAAGTGTGTGAAAGTGAACTGCAAAAGAAGGCATATAAATAGGAATATTATGTGTATTTTAAACTACTATTAACATACATACATGTAAAGAGTATAAAAAACAATTATTTAATGTAGCATTCATGAAGATATGATAAAATTTGATGCTCAGATACATTAACATTTTGCAGCAGTATTTCATCATGTTAAAATAAAGGTGAAGTTACCTATCAGAGGCTCCCATTAGCTCCATCGCCGTCAAGCTCCAGTAGATGCCAGACATCCGAAGGTACTCAGTCATATTGTACTCATAATCGTCCTGATCTGTTCCATATTTAGCCAAGTAGTCTATATGTTTCTTTAACAACAGTATTTTAGGTCTGTCGATACTAATAATCACGTCTTTCGGATTTAGAGTCATTTTTATATTGTTCATAATCACTGAATACATAGACATAAATAGAAGCTTGGTAGCTTCTTACGAAGGTTGAAGGAGTACGGAGACTCCTTGCGCGTGAAAGATTTGGATCCGGCTAGGAAGAATTGCAAATCCAGTTGCCTTAATTAAAACTAAAGAACAATTATTTTATAATCTCTTGATAGAGATTACAATTACACGACTCACCACGACAGATAATTCTGCCGAAGTGTAATGTCACTGTCACTGTCAAAATGACAAATTATCAATAGTCGATAAATTACTCGGACTAATCTGCGTGAAACGAAATGGAGCGTGGCATGAAAAGACATTTAAAATATTCACGTTTTCGTAATTTAATAAAATCGCAACTGGTTTTTATTTATAGTATTCACTTAAGGTAAAGGACGGCCCCGTTGGTCGAGTGGTTCCAAGTGCGACGTCAAGGTGTCTCGGGTTAGATTCCCGTGTCGGCAAAGTATTACTATTACTAGGTAAAAAATCTCAGTAATAGCACGGAGTCTGGTATTGTGCCTTGTATATGGCAAAAGATGTCATGGCAATAGATCAATGAGTCCCATGTAATAGGGGGTGAGCGTTCAATATTAAGTGGCGTAATGTGCAGCTCTGCCTGCCTCTCCCCTGTTCTCCCCAAAGGGGTCTTCGGGGATAAAAAGGCATGCTGTTATGTACGGTCATTTAAGGTATTTGGGTGTACTATAATCTAATGGAAGATTTTTTTTACGGTACGAAATAGGAACGTGCAAAAGTTGCAACCGAAAATAAAAACAAGTAAGTAGTTAGAGTGGGCTGTGAGTTTAACTGAAGTGACTTGGACTTGGCTTGGGCATGAGGGGATGAATGAAAGTAATAGTACGGGTATCTAAGTACTTATTTATAAAGGATGTTTATGGTAACATCGCGCCGCCCGGTAGCGGTAGTAGAGGGTCGCCCTAAAATAATAAATACAGACCTTATTGGGTGACGTAATCACCCAAGAACAGAATGCGGAGTAGTTTGAACTGACGTGTTATTATACTTTTTTTTTATGGAATAGATCACCTGATGGTAAGCGATCAGCGCTGCCCATGGACACCCGCAACACCAGATGAGTCACAGGTGCGTTGCCGGCCTTTTAAAAAGGAATACGCTGTTTTCTTGAAGGTTTGAATATCGTATCGGTTCGGAAATACCGCCGACGACAGATCATTCCACAGTTTTGCTGTGCGAGGCAGAAAGCTACATGAGAAGCCCACAATTGTGGCCTGCCAACCATCTATAATGATGGGGATGCATATGCTGTCGTGAAAATCGTCGATGGCGAAAAGATGCGGCAGGTATCAGATCAGACAATTCCTCAGAGCACTCCCCGAGCAGTTATCGCCATACTTATGTAGCAATGTAATGGAAGCAAAATGTATGTTCGTAAGTCGGCGCTGTAAAGGTTCTGCCTACCCTCAAAGACTTCAGGTACGTATCTTTTTTGTAAGTGGATGAGTAACGACACATCAATAAAAAATGTATGAGTTGATTTATAAACTTGAACTAACCAATTTACAAACGAAATTGCGTCGTCGTCCTAAGTAAATATACACACGTATGGTTCAGAGAAAAAATATTTATTTATAGGAGTACCTACCACAAGATGTGATAGAGGTTTATCAATAATATTCAATGTTAAGTGACTACGCAGGAAACATTCCCTCATACATGAACAGAGGGCTTAGTACGCGTTTCGTTTACGTTTAAAGTAATAGAAACGAAACCTCGTCCGGCGCTCTGATTGGTTGGTTCATTGGCGCCGGCCAATCAGAGCGCCGAACACGTACTCGTTTCGATTACTTTCAACGTAAAACAAACTCGTACTAAGGCCTCAGCAGCTGTATGGAATTGACGAAAATTTTGACATTTGTCAGCGTCATCCCCATACATTTTGGTTTCTACTCTCTCTGTAGACAAGCGCTAAAGTGGCGTTTGGCTTTAGCCAGTGCCTTTAGGCAGTGTACGGCAATGCAATAAATAAGTTTTGGACAACTTATTTCAAAAAAACTTAGGTTGGACTTAAGTACGTTTTTTTTTTAAAAAAAACACAATCTTACTTGATGACCATTGTCGAATAACATTTCGTATAATATGTGTATTATTTTTATTTGTGGCAATTCCGGTACGCTGCGTAGTTTGAATCGCGAACAATCCTTTTACAAATATTTGCGTGGCCTTCTTACCTTGTGTTTGTTATTTCAGGTGTCCTGTGAGTGCGAGCGTTGTGCACGGGTTTGTGAAAACTCAGTGTTCTCTACTTTGCAAACATCCTGGCTACATATCTCAGTGCCTTATGAGTAAAAAAAATATTGGAAAAAGGAGTATTCCTATTAAAATGTAGTAGTAATAATATCTTTATTGTAATCATTTGTATAGATACGCACCTAGGTGTGTTAAAACTGTAGTAAACTTTTAAATTTCTTGCATTCGTTTCTATCCATAGACGTTGAAAAAAGGGCAGATATTGTCTTGAAACAACGACTGTGGCACGTAGTTCCTATAGACTTAACGCAGAACATTCACTCATCGACACGATAAACATCTGTCATTGTCTTAAATCTGGTAACGTGGTAGGTAATATAATTCATTACACACACACACATAAATACACCACTGACATTTTGGTGCTTCAATCATTTTTAAGTGACCTTACGTCCGCAATTTTTTTCAACGTTTTTGTTTCTATCTTAATCCGGGGAGTCAGTAGATGGCGCTGTTAGGGGGCCACTGTACCAGGGCCAGTATCTGTAAAAACCTCTAAAATTAAATGTGATGTTCTCTTCTGGAGTTAGGTATGTAATATGGTGTTCATCTGTTCATTCAGGCCTTTATTTTTTACTAGCTTTTACCCGCGGCTTCGCTCGCGTCAAAAAAGAATAAAAAGTAGCCTATGTGATATATACCAATACACACAGCGCCATCTATACCAATATACACAGCGCCATCTATACCAATACTTTTGTTTTTCCTCGAGAATATCAATTTTTTCCGGGTTAAAAAGTACCCTATTATTTAATCCGGACTTCTAGCTTTACGTTTGCAAAAAATCAAAGCAATCGGTTGAGTAGTTACGGCGTGAAGGTGGAACAAACAAACAAAACAAACAAACAAACTCACTTTCAGATTTATAATATTAGTAAGGATTGCAATTTCAAGGCAATAAGCCATTTTTCAATTTTTAAAGCCTCTCATTTAGATAGGTTGGGAAATACTTAATTAGCTCTTGCCGAAACCGTTTAAATACATAACCAACTATATAAAGTTACCTAATCAAGTGCAAAAAATCTTTTAATATGGTAGAAAAAGCCGGCAACTAATTTGTCAGGCCTCTTTCATCAAAAACTAGACGACGTAAGTGAGAAATAGTTTTTATTGGCGACGGTTTTAATTGAGCCCTTGGGCAGAATGTCAGAGCATCATTAAGGTGATTAATATCAAGAAGGCAAGGTATATGCTAGCTATCGGTCTTCTTATAAATACTATTTGCAAAACAGTAAAAAAAGGATCGTCAAAAATTCTCTCTACATCTTCCTTGTATTTCTTCAGGAATTAAAATTAAATTATTTCTTAATTATCTAAAATCGCGGGTTACTCACTTGAATATACTGAGAAAAGCTCTACTAGAGGTAGTTTCGAACCACAGAGGGGTTCTTCCTCATGAGCAGCGTGCGCGGTCGCGGCGACGTCGCGAAGCTCCCGCTTCGTGAGTGACCCGGGATTTTAGTTTATTTATTAGTATGTCTCACGATAGTTATTATAAAAATTATTTCTTTTCCAAAAAATCGTATAAACTAACTTTTTGCCCACGATTTTATACAAACAAACATGAATATTCCGTTGTTTCTGTTCCTATGGGAATATTGAGAAAATTTCTAAGCGCTCCCATACACTCATGTGGGTTGTCTGTCATTCACACAGGAGCGAAGGTGTTATAATAAAATGAATATTGACGTCTGAGGATACGGATTCACACAAAGTCTTCAAAACAGACATAGGCGAACCTAATAAATCTATTACGGTAGATACGTTTGCTTCTCGAATCTAGATCAATTCAATTACAACTCAATTATATTATGAGTCTCATGTACCAAGTGAACAGCTGCCATGTTTGTCTCATCGCATTAGAAGTGTGAGACAACTTGAGTAAGTGCAGACATTCTTACACACATGTGCAACTATAGGTACCTGATACTTTCTACACACTTTTTATTCTAGGTTATTTGTTGTTACAACCAGCTACATAAGAAGGACCAGTATCTTTTAATCTTTTTGGTAACTGTTACATGTATGTACATCACTAATTAGTAAGTAGTGGCCCCCTCACTATAATATGTTATATAAGGTAGGACACTCTAACGCCGCTGTCTACCTGTCTTAGTTTGGTGTGTGCACACGTCGTGCGCTCTGCACATTATTGTAATAAATCCAAGTAAAATAAATCCGACTTTAACTAATTAATCCACAAATATAACAGTAACCTAATAATCTGCGAACTCCACACCGCATCGCCGGCCAAATCTGGGGGATTTTCGGAAGCCCGGAAGCCCTCCATGTCAGACGTCAAGTGGATGTCCTCCAGCTGATAGATGCTTGCAGATATATAAACATTATTTCATTTAGTAAAGGGTTCACGTGTCAAAAACCCTCAACTAGGTCAAACTCCAAATAATTAGTTTCACAAACAAGTATGGAAACTGCACAATTGGTAAAGTTGTGCACATGTGTAATGATATTGTAGTTATTTTGTTCTGTTGACTCCTGGGCATGTTCGGTCTATGAATTTCATAGTTATATTGTAATAGGTACCTAACCAGTGATTGACATGCTACTGATGCGATCAATGATACTGAGCTGAGTGCTGAACCAGAAACATAGTGATCCTACCCCACAGGAACCAATTCGATCAAGACGGTCAAATAACAAAGTATAACTACCTTCCTGCCTTGCACAGCAAAACTGTGGAATGATCTGTCGTCGGCGGTATTTCCGAACCGATA